AACCCACAGCTGCCGAAAATGGGCCTGCACTTGACGCCTGTTCTGGGCGGAAGAAGGGATGGGGTCCAAGGGTGGCTGAGGCTTCCGCAGGGCCCTTGGTCTCATGGGCTCCTTTGGTGCTGGTGGTTCGTGGTTTCCAGGTGACAGGCCGTGCAGGGATGAGGCCTAAGGTGACAGAGCAGAGGAACCGCCTTCCTCTTCATCCTGAGGCCCAGGACGCCATCGGGAGTTACCTAGGACCCAGTGCGGTGTCTAGCAATGGGCGGGGCCACAGGCTTCATGCAGCCAGAGCCACCTCGCCCAGGCTCGGTCCAGGGGAGCAGAGCTGTTGGCCTTAGGGCAGGTGTAGCCAGGATGAGGTGGGAAAGAGCAGTGGGGCCGTATACCCAAGGGTGGTCGACCCCAAGGTGGGCTGTCCATTGCCAAGATCCATGCCCACGGTTCTGTCTCTGATGGAGCATCCCCAGTGTATCTGCCAAACAGTGAAGCCCGGGGCCTTGCCGAGCTTCTGGCCCCTGTGATGCCCTGGGTGGTGGGGTGGTTAAGCTCGCAGGCTCCAGAGTCAAGCTCCAGGCTTCAATCCTGGCTGAGTACGGAGCTTACTTCTCCAAGCCTCGGGCTCCTCATCTGGACGGTGGGAGAGTGATGGCGTCTCCCAGGAGAGGTGCTGGGATTCAGCGAGAGCCCATGTGTGATGCCCGTGGTAAGTGCGCAGCCAGTCACAGTGTTATTGTCACGGCCAGAGACTGGGCTTCTTCTCGGGAACATCTTGGTGCCTGAGCAGGGGTCTTGAACCCAGGCCGAGATCCGAATCCTTTTTGCCGCTTTGCTGGCACGGTGGGTGGCCCCCGCTGAGTCAGGAAGCGGAGACAGCACAGCAGCTGGAGACGAAACAGCAGTTAGATTTCACAGCCTCCCAGGGAGCTCGGGCATTTGGCTCTGCCGGAGCCACTCCCCTGGCTTTCTTAGGGCGGTGCTGAGGCAGAGTGCCGGGTGCCACCAGGCCGGCGGAGGCACCAATTAAAATGAGCAAGCATCCGGCATGCTGGGTTCCAGCCTCGTAACGAGACTTAAAGCCTTTCACTCCCTCAACCCTCCGAGTCTTCACGGGGGATCCTGTCTGTTGCCTCGGGCCCCCCACCATGAAACGCCATCTCTCCCCTCCGCATGCAGGAAGCTGCCGCCTGGAAATGGCAGTAGTGGCAGCTGGGTGCGGCTGGAGCGCCTGCCGCTGTGCTTTACCCCCCACCTTCGGGGGGTCTGAGTTCCCATTTACTCTGAGAGCACTTCATGAGCCAGAACAGTCGACTCCTCAGCCTCCAGGTCACGGAGGGAGCACGGGAGGGCTCTGACGGCTCCCAGCCAGGTCTGGTGCCTCCGGTGGCTCCTGGTCGCAGGGCCCTCCCGGGGCTGCCTCGAATTACAGCATGGAGGCACGGGAACGAAACCCATGCTCTTCAGAGGAGCACCGTGGGATCAAGCCCCGGAGGGACGCTGGTCCCAAGACCGTCCCCATCCCACCTTCATGCTCAAGGAGCTCTGGGGACAGCTCTCCATTCTTTATCCCTTTGCTGGGTGAAGTTCCTGGTTTCGACATCTCCTGACTCTCTCCTTCTCTCCCCGTCAGTCCAAGCTGAGTAAGGTTGTACGCAATAAAAATAACAGCTCACGGGCACTGAGCCCCGTCATGCGCAGACGGCGTCCGAAAGCAGTTTGTGTGTGCATCTCTCACTGGTCCTCCCAGCAGAGCCCTGCCATCCATGCTTCCAGTGTCCTCATCGGACAGAAGAGCAGACTGACGCTCTGAGAAGCTGAAACTTGGCCAAGGTCGTGCAGCCCAGAAGTGCCAGCGGCAGCATTTGAACCCGGGTCCTCCGACTCCAGAACTCAGCCTCTTGACCAGTGTGCCCACGCCAGGAAGCAGAGCTCTGCGGAAGCAGTGGAATTTTAGGTGACGTTTCTTTTCCAAAAGGAAGTTGCTTTCTGTCTCTATCTACATTTTTTTTTTAAATAAAACTTTTATTTCCTGCAAGGCATGTTACTCTAAACTGGAGTTCTGTTCCTGGAGCTCCCTTTCATGTTATAAAAATAGCAGAACTGATGGGGTTTCATTGTACAAACTGTTTTGGATCATCACAGAGAAACTAGAAAAACAGCAAGTGAAAAAAAACCAGGCCGCAGAGGACAGGCAGGATTTCACCCGGCCGTGAAATCGGCAGCCTTCTCCACGGTGCACGCCCTTCCCTACTCTTCCCCTGCTCAGGCTTTCGGCTAAATTGTGCTTTGTGGTCGTTGGAACCAGACGGTTTGGGCTGAAAATGGGAGCTCATAGGAGGCAAGATTTGGGAATGGGAAGGGAAGAACAGAGGAGGAGCAGCCTTGGAGAGGGGCGTGAGGCTCAGAAGGCCAGCTGGGGGTGCTGAGGAGGGGACCCCCAAGGTCACTGGTTGCCAGAGCAGGTGACACCACATCGGGACTTGCCTGGAGCATGGATAACCGTGGGGGCCTGGACTGGGTCACTGACTTAGGCCATTGGTTGCCTTTCACACTGGGAACCCCCTCTGCCTTGTTTGGTCTTGGTTAGAGGTCCTTACCTCGTTGTGAAAATGTGGAATTCTTCCTCTATTCAAAGCACTCAGGATCCTGTTCAGCTGAAGCGGCCTTGTAGCAAGGACCTGAGAGCTCAGCTGCCCTGGGCCCAGGGGGCCTGGGACAGGCTGGAGAGAGTGGGCGCCGTCCACAGGGGCAGCTGCTGCTTCACTCTTGCCATTCGTAACCATGTAGGATCATAAGCTGATTGGTACCACATTGTCCAATGTTTCAAGAGAAGTCAAAACCTACACTTTTCATCAGAAGTCTTCTGATTTTTTTTTTTTGAGGAAGATTAGCCCTGACCTAACATCCGCCAATTCTCTTTTTGCTGAGGAAGACTGACCATGAGCTAACATCCATGCCCATCTTCCTCTACTTTATATGTGGGACGCCTGCCACAGCATGGCTTGCCAAGCGGTGCCATGTCCGCACCCGGGATCTGAACCGGCGAACCCTAGGCCACCGAAGTGGAATGTGTGAACTTAACCACTGCACCACCGGGCCAGCCCCAGAAGTCTTCTGATTTTTAAGTATTGGCAACTAATTTACATTTCTTAAACAGCCAGCCAAGTACAAGCTGGTCACCGGGCTGCCACTTTATAACCTCTGACACAGAACATAGCCGTTCAGCCTTTGCTTTCTGTTGGGAACAAACTGCTTCGCAATAAGGAAACAATATGGAACCAACCAGTGGCCTCTCCGTGGCCTGGGAGGTCCTCTGCACCTTCGGGTGGCGTTCGGTGGGAATCGGAACCTGCGGGGAGCTTCCTTTCTGCCTCCACGGGCTTTGCCCAGATTTCACTCACCTTTGGCGTCAAGCCTGGAGCTGGAGGGTGGCAGTGTGGAGTCAGGCCAGGCTGGTGAGGACAAGCGGCTGGAACAGGGGGCGCATCTCCCAGGAACCCCGTCGTCTCTGTGTCTGTTTATTCCTCCCTTCCTCCCTGTTGTAGTTCGTTTCTCTCTCTCTCTGCTAGAGGGCTGGGTTCCCCTTCTTTCTTCTGCTCTGCATCCTGTCCGACCTTACGACCATCTTCTCTGTCTCCGCTGTTTGATCCAAGCTGGCTGGGACTTTTTTTTTTTTAGCTTTGGTTTTGAGATGTGTCATAAAGATTCAAGTGGGCATCAGAAGTTAAAAAAAGTAATAATTCAATACCTGGTCTTCTAATTCTTCTTTTAATCATTACTTTCTTGTCAACTGAAAAGCTCCGTAGAGTTTCTCAGCTGGCCGGCACGTATTTCTCAAGCCCTGAGCACAACTGCCGTGGGGCTTACAAGAGGCGCAGCAGACGTGGTTGTGGCTTGTGAAGGGTTCACAGTCTGGCTGGCAGTGAGACACACGACACACGTGTAACAGGCGGCTTTTGCGCGTGTTTGATACCCGCGGAAGGATTTAGAGGAGGGGAGGGTAAGGGCGGGGTGGAGGTGGGAGCGGCTCCCCAGGGGGTGGAACGTGGCAGGAGTTGATGGTTGGTCTTCTGGATTCGGGAGGGAGCGGCGGCGGGAAAAGCTTCAGAGCGATGGCACTCGAGGGAGCTGAGTCTCTAAAGAGAAGACGAAGAGGAGGTGAAAGACTGTCCCGCAGGAGAGGAGCCGGGCGCAGAGGTGTGGAAGCGTGGGGGCGGGGGTGGGAGGGGAGAATGCATCCGGGTCTTCGAGGGTCCCCGCCTCTGCCCCCAGGGCGGTGCTGAAGAGTGGCGACTGCATCCTGGGGTGACAGCGAAGCCCCAGAGTGCTTGAAGCAGGGGGGTGACATGGTCGCCTTTGAGGGGAGCGTCCGCCAGTTCGCTCAGGCCGCCCTGCGAAGAGAGGTTGGACACGGGTGCCGACCGAGACCGGGAGCGTGGCGGCGGCCTGGGGACGTGGTGGGACCTGTTTGATTTGGCCTGAGCGGCAGGGGAAGCAGGTGTTGGGCTCGGTCACAGCACGAACAGTTAGTGCTGTGGTCTCATCCCCCCCTCCTCCCATGTTTCTTACCCACCTGGGGCCTGTAGATGTTTGAGTCTGTGGCCCTTGGAGTAAATTCTGGGGGTCTGGCTCTGCGGCAGGAGTGGGGAGAGCAAAGGATGATGAAGACTCAGCTACGCGAGCCGCAGATCAGCCTCTGGTCAAGTGGAACCTAGAGACAGGTCGGAGTCAGGGGTACTGGGGAGAGGGGCCGAACCTCCCCCCCCCCCCCCCCCCCCCCCCCCCCCCCCCCCCCGGTCGGGGAAAGGCCTGGCAGAGGGGAGGGGGGCTGAGAGCGGGTGCCCTCAGGTCAAACCAGCTGAATTGGAATCCAGTGCTGCTATTTACTGCTCTGGGACCTTGGGCTCTTGGCATCCCCTCTCCAAGCCTCGGCTTCCTCATCTGCAGAAGGAAGCTGACACCAGTGCCACCGTTGAGGGCTGTTGCGAGGTGCCTCCAACAGTGAGCACAGTGCCTGGCTCGGACCGAAGTGAGCACTTGGTGACGTTAGCCCCATTCTTAGGGTGTGGTCAGAGCATGGGGCCGGTTCCACAGGGAGCCTAGAAGGCCAGAGGTGGAGTTCGGGCTTGGTGGAGTAGGGCTGAGAGCTGCTTCATGCGTTTAGTGACGTGATGACAGGTGTCTTCCTTCTGACCTCTTGCCAGCTCCAGATGCTGTTTCCAGCCCCCGTGATGTCCTTTCTTAGAGACCCTGGGGTGGGTCAGCCCTGAATCAGGATTACTTTTCTCCCTGGAGATTGGGGGCGGGTGGAGAGGGCCCTCTCAGGATGTTCTCCAGTGGCAGGAGCCAGGTGTGGCGTTTTTCTCTCCTTCTGCGTCTGTCTCCCTGACCAGCCTCTGGACGTCCCCAGGGCCGTCTCGTCTGTGCAGCTTCGAAGCTCCCCTGCTGACAGTCAGGAAGCACGTGGACTCAGTGAACTGGCGAGCTCTGTCACAGGCTGGCCTGGCCTGTGGAGGAGGCGGTGCCTCCATCAGAACCGTCAGGAGCTGAATCAGGCCAGGAGAAAGTGGTTGGTGAAGGCACAGCGGGCGTCAGGATGAACATGTTCTGTGTCCTTGCCCCACCCCACCGTGCCCAGCTCTTAGGGTCAGAAAGGACCTCCTCCCCTGGTTCCTCAAGGCGTAGCTTCTAAGCGTCTCTAGCAGGTAAGTTCCTGCTTTATTCCCATGCCCTGACACAACCCTGAACAATCCTTTCTGGTCGAGAGTCGATCAGGAAGCTCTCGGTCTGCTCAGCCAGGAAGTGAGAGCCGACTGTTTATCCTGCCCCAGGATAAAGCCTGGAGGTCTGCATGTCTCCTCAGTGGAGGGGAGGGGGTGGATTCTGTCCTCATAACCACCCTACATGTATTGAGGAAGCGGCATCTTGGAATGCAACTAGGATATTTGGATTACAAATTAAAAAAAATTTTTTTGATGTCTTTCCCAGTGTATTTTAGCTCTAGAAGCAAGCAGGAGCATAATATTGCAGCAGCGTCTTTTTTATTTAGGGGTTTTGTTTTTCCGTGGAAGACTCGATTGTGTTCCGGGAATCTCCTGGGTGAATGTTTGGTGGCTTCCGCCTGCGTTTGGAAACCTTGCAGACATCGCCCATGAGTGCTCTGTGGGTCTCGCCCCTGCTCCCTGGCCCGACAGTGAGTCCAATAGCTGCAAAGCGGAGTGTCCTTTCTGCCCCCTTCGAGTGTCAGTCTTCCCCGGGGCCCTTCTCCTCACCCACTGTTAGAGGCGGCGAGCACTATTGCACCTGGCTGCAGTTGGGAGGGGTGTGTGCAGCGATGCTGGTATAGAGGGTTTATCCTAAAGCCCTTATGAGTCATGGTGGTTGTCCCCATTTTCAGCTGTGCAGTGTGAGGCTGGGAGGGAGGAGCTCTGTGCAGGCAGCCAGTGGAGCGTGGGGCTCACGTGCTCAGTAAATGTCGGTGGGCTGCCCATGTCTTGCCCTCTGACCGGAGACCTGCCCCTCTGTTTTCAGGCTGTGCCCGGGAGGTGGGGGGGACACATTTTCTTGCCCGGGCTCCAGCGGCCTTGAAAGTTTCCTTAACTTCAGAGTGTAGGTAAGGAATCCGTGAACTGAGATCCGCTCATTTGGTGAGGCTTAGGCCAAGTTCTCGGATCGAGTGGAAGATGCGGCTCTTGAAGGCCACGTGCTCTGACCTGCTGTCCCTGCGCAGCCCCAGAGAATTGGCAGTGGCCCCAGCACTTTCCAGGCCATGAGAAATTTCATCTCGGTTACGCTCCTGGCTGGCTGACCTTCCGCTTTTACTGCACCCCAGAAATCAGAACCAGTAATCAAGTCTTAAAACAGAGGACTGCTCGTATAATCTCATTTATTTAATAGTCACATAATCTCACTGATTTTTCCATTTAAACCACTTTACTGCCAAACCTCCCTGTGGGCTGCCGCGTCTAGCTCCTGATCCGTCCCTGCTGCACGTTTCTTCAGCTGGAGGCCTGTCCTGTCTGCAAGCCCTCCCCAGCTGTGGAGTGGAGGTTTGTCCTCTGACTGCTTGCTGCCCGCGCCTCGTTCTCTGCTGTGTGCGCAGAGGCCCGCTTGCTCCCTAGCATCTGCCCGGGCTGGATTTGATGAATGTCTTATGTACCGAATCACGGTTTATTTTGTGCCGTGATGGATTCCTAAAGGTTGTGAGAAAATGGAATTTTGGTGAAGTAGATCATTTAAAATATGGGCAGGAGAGCTGAGTTTGGCAAAGCCTCCTGTCCTAGCGTGATTAATACCCCTCAGTTCATCCAGCGTCTAGCTGGGTTTTGTAAATCATGTAACCTCCAATCCGAGTTTAGCCTGTCTGCGGATTTCTTCCTCGTGTCTCCGGGAGGCCCATTTGAGGTGGCCAGGTTGGACAGGGAGGGGGGGGTGTAGAGCCTAACCCAGTGTCCTGCCTGAGTTGTTGCTGTCGGTGTGGGTGCTGCTGTGTTACACAACTCTGCTGCTTTCTCGTCGTGCAGGTTTTGCAAAGGCAGGGCCCACGTCTTTCCTACGCATATCCTGGGCACTTAGTAAATAGATGTGGAGTAATATATCGAGGGGTGAGTCACCGGGTTCTGAAAACACGCAGGGTCCCAGGTGACTCTCTCTCTTACAGCTTAGCCAGCCCCTGAGCCATCTGGGGTGACAAGCAGACGCATTCACGTGTGGTCAGATCAGAAATAGCCCAGGCGGGGCCTGGCCCCTGCTTCCCCTGGGAGCAGCCTGCCCTTTGGACGTTCCGGTCTCTGCTTGCAGCGCTGTGCAGGTCTCCAGGAGCCCACACGTGTCCTGTGACTGCCGTGTCAGCCTGGGGTGCTCGGTCCCCGCCTTCCCTCATGTCTCAGCTCGCCCCCACCCCCCAATCGCAGCCCCCCCTTCTCTCTCGTGAATGCCTCTTTTTGTTAGATTGGGATTTTACTTTTTATTTTTTTCTTAGTCTTTTAGCTCTTGCTGCACACCAGCATGGGCTGCTGGCTGATGGCTTGGAGCCACTCCAAGCTGCGGGCACGTTGCTTTCACTTGTGGGTGGTCGTCAGCGGCGTGATGTCTTCTCTGTGACTCCCGAGGGCGCCCTCTTCTGCGGGCTCGGCCGTTCTCACTAGGCTGGCCTGCCTTGTTGGGAACCGCAGTTTTTACTGCGCACCCTCGAGCCAGTCTAGTCGCCTTGACAGGGCCCGGGTTTTATCCGAACCAAAGCTATTCAGCCTCCAGGTCCGTTGGCCCGTTTGTTTTGGCTGCACGTTGTGTGCTGTTTCCTTTTGGCGTGCAGACACTGTCCCTGGGTGCACGGGGCTCACGAGTCTGGAGATGGGAGAGGCTTGGGAGAGTTCTCAGTTTGTTAGAAGTGTGTGTGCTGGAGGAGTGCTGACATCTGCCGAGATGCCACGCCGTGCTAACGTTTCTTCAGTCTCGCAGTCTGCAGCAAAGGGTCGGAGGTGGGGGGATTTCCGGCGTCATCTCTAGGTGGCTGTGCAGCCTTGAATGAGGAGCTGAGTTCCAGTTTCTTCATCTGTAGAACGGGGATAAGATGTCTCCATTCAGGGCTGACGTGAAGATTAAATGGGGAAATTCCATTTGCCATCTCGCAGCACCCGCTCAGAGGGGCCGCTCTAGGTAACAGGACAGGACAGGCTTTCGTTTTCAGCAGAGGAGCAGGGTCGCCCTTTCCGGAGCCCTGCGTAGGGAATCCAGGACTCTGAATTGAGGACTGGAGCCGCTCTTCCTTTTGTTAATTCTCCGACTTCCTCTTCAGGAACATTAGCCGGTTTTGCGTTTTCTTAAGGGTCCTTTGTGGTACGTGGGGCGTGTCTGTGGCTGCCCTCCCGCGCACTGTGGGAGATTCCACCCAAGCGCTCACGTCCTGTCCGCTCTCTAGGATGGCCTCTTGGTTTCCATTGTGTTTTTCTTTATTCACGATGCTTCTTCTGGGCTGCCTTCCTCACTTAATGGAAAGGGAAACTGAGGAAAAGGAAGCCAAGGCTGAGCCCGGTGCCTGGCCGCTGACTGCACCGGCCCCTGCCGGCTTCTCTGGGAGTGGCACTGGCCAGGCCAGCCCAGGTCCATGGAGAGGCGGCGTGCCCAGGCCATCCAGCTCTCTGCAGGATGTGGACGTCCCCCAAGCTGTCGCTTCCCCGAGGGGCCTGCGCCTCCCGCCTCCTTGCTCCTTGTTGCTGCTCTTCTAAGAGAGCCGCCTGCTGCAGCAGAAGATCCAGCGGCTGGGGCGTGGCCAGTGTTCCTGGAACAGCCCGGCCCCCATGCTCCCAGGTGGGGGCTCAGCAGACCTCTGATCTGAGCTGAGTGGGCACCGTCAGCCGACACAGCAGCAGCCTGCACGGAGAGCCAGCCTCACAGCCAGACGTGCTTCTCGGAGCGCTGCTGTCTGCTGACCCCTCGCGGGGCCCAGGCGCGCTGGCATGCGGTGAAAAATGCCTGTCATCGCCGTTTGCTCTTCCACCTCCCTCCCATCCCTGTGAGGTTCACAATTAGCGTTTCTGATGCTTCCAAGTGACTATGGGACAGATGTTCGCACAGGTGCTGCGCTCTTCACTGGGTAAACAGAGTGGAGTTTGCACGCCTGTGTGTGTGTGTGTGCCTGTCTGTGTGTGTGTGAAGCCTAGAGCCTTCGAGATGTGTGTAGTGTTTACAAACGCTTTTCGAAAGCCTCCGAAGCACTTTGCATGTGGAAGGTGCTCAATAAAGACTGCGATATGAGAGTGGCGCGGTGAAAGCCGTTTGTCTCCGAGTCCACCCCCTGGCGCGGGAGCAGGAGGTCCAACTGCAAGTTGAGCCTTGAAATTCAGGGACTAAAGAAGGCGGAACATCCTGCCCTACTGAGGAATGACCTGCGAGGAATGACCTGCGGGCCTCCGGCAAGCCACTCGTTCTCTCTCCGCTGGCCTGGGGCAGGGAGTGGAGGGGTGGGATGTGCTGTAGAGGGCAGTGAGGAGGGTTGGACCACGGAAATGACCTCCAGGACTCCTGATGGCTGACTGTAAATGCGAGCTCCCGTGGCTGCCCGGGGAAAAGGGACTTTCAGTTTTGCCTGTGCAGCGTGGTTGTAGATGAGGTTACGATGTTAACCAGGACTGACCTCGGCTACCTCTTTCCGGTTGGCGCTCCTGGTCGTTGCTCTGCTGTTGGAAGCTGGTGGCTCAAGTTCAGTCTCTTTAATGTAGCTGACAGGCTGCCCACGCCTCCTGCCTCACAGAAGCAGTGGGGAGAGGTCAGGCTGCCTGGCCTTCAACCCCAGACTGGCCACTTGCTTTCTTTGTGACCTTGGGCAAATCACTTAGCCTCTCTGGGCCTCATTTCCCCCTCTGCAAACTGGAGAAGGTAATAGTCTCTGGGTGATAGGGCTTTTTCGTGCTTGGAAGAATTAACAAATGTGGAGCCCTTAGAACTGTGGCGCGTGTTACAGACGGAGTGTGAGCAGCTGTTTTTGTTAGCATTTCCACGACGTCGGCCTCATCTCTGGCCCTTTAAGCTTCAGCATTCCTGAACCTTCTGCAGTTTCCCAAATGGGACCGCTGTTTGCTTCTCTGAGCTGTGTGCGTGATCTTCCGGTTTCTGGACGGTACCCCTCACCCCAGCCCCCTCCACCTTGCCAGCCACTCCACCTTGCAAACACCCCTTCCTGCTGTCACTAACAAATGCCTTCAGC